CACCCAGTGTGGGGCTTGAACTCACGACCCTGAGACCAAGAGTCGCATGGCTTTTCTGATGGAGCCAGCCAGGTGTCCCTGTCATTATTTCTTTTGTGGCATACTGTTGCTCATATGCATGTTTTCCATGGGAATGTGCATGTTTTACTGCTTTATAAAAACTTTACACACAGTAACTAGACTCTTTTACAGATATATTGCAAGTGTTTTTATAGTTGTTTCTCTTGTAATTTTGTGTGTAACAGTTTTTCATTTATAGAAGTTTTTTCTTTTGTAATTTCTCCTTTTAGTTTCATGCTTAGAACGTTCTCACCTCTGGAGGCACCTGGCTGGCTCAGTCAGTAGAGCACAGGACTCTTGATCTTAGGGTTGTGAGTTCGTGTCCCACGTTGGGTATAGAGATTACTTGAAGATAATGTTTTTAAAAAATCTAAAAAAAGAGAAGCTTCTCACCTCAGTTTAAGATATAAAGATATTCAACTATATTTTCTTCTAATACATTTATTCGTTTTTTCATTTAAATTTTTAATAATCCTGGAATTTTAGTTTTTGTGTAAAGTATGAGGTATGTATCTGCCTTTTTATTTTGCAAATAATGAGCAAATGATCCAAATATTTATTAGATAATCCATCTTTCTCTTGCCAATTTAAGATGTCATATACACTAGGGGCACCTGGGTGGCTCACTTGGTTGAACAGCCAACTCTTGATGTCGGCTCAGGTCACCATCTCACAGTTTGTGGGATCAAGCCCCAAGTGATGTTGTGTGATGACAGCATGGAGCCTGTTTGTGATTCTCTCTCTCCCTCTCTCCCTCTGCCCCTCCTCCATTCTCTCTCTCTCAAAATAAGCTCAAAAAATAAAACACAGAAGCTGAATTCTTGTATATACTGTGATTTGTTTTCAGACTCCTTGCTGTTAAATTTATCAATCCATTTATTCTTAAGCTAATAATATACTTTAAAAATTACTGAAATGATACAGTTTATTTTAGTATCTGACCAGGAAACACTTTCTCTTCCCTCCCAATATGCTTCTTCATCAAAGTTTCTTGGCTACTCTGGTAATGTTGAATCACATTACCAGATTTTTTTTTTAAAGCTTATTGTGAGAGAGAGTGGGGGAGGGACAGTGTGTGTGTGTGTGAGAGAGAGAGAAAGAGAGAGAGAGAATCCCAAGCAGACTACAAGCTGTCAGTGCAAAGCCCAACTAGGGGCTTGAACTCACAAACTGAGATCATGAACTGAGACAAAATCAAGAGTCATAAGCTTAATCAAATGAGCCACCCAGGTGCACACCACCGACATTGTCAAGCTTTTAAAACTCAAATGGTATTCTGATGGATGTTGTTCTAATTTTTTTAAGTTTATTTATTTTTGAGAGAGAGAGAGAGAGAGAGAGAGAGAGAATCGCAAGGAGGCTCCATGAAGTCAGTGCAGAGCATGACACGGGGCTGATATCCATGAACTGTGAGATCATGACCTGAGCTGAAATCAAGAGTTGGATGCTCAACCAACTGAGCCACCCCAGTGCCCCTAAAGTTCTAGCTTTCACAGTACATATTTAACTGTATTTACTGAGGATACCCATATATTCTTGAGGATAAGCTGGGCATTGCAGCAGGGAAAGGAGGTCAGTAGGCAAGTTTGCCCACTTCACCATCAACTTCAGATCCAGCTCTATCCTTCAAATTCAGTCAGAAGGGAAACCATCCTCTTCCAAATCAAAAACACTCAGGGTACAGATTTAAGGATGCTTGTTTTACTAGGAGGAGCCCTGGGATGAGTGGGAAGTGTAGGTTTTCCACTCAGTAATAAAGTGAGCCGCTAATTAGGAGCCAGAAGAATTGAGAATGGCGACACAGGAGTTAGGAGGCTGTAGGCAGATAGTGGCAGAAAAGCTTAATTAAGGTTCTGCCAGAGAGCCAAGGGATGAAGACCTGCAGGGGTCCCCAGAATTCTTTTGATATTTTGAAATGGCAGGCAAGGGCAGAGTTCACAGATAAATGGATTCCTGAGGAATGGTTCTGAAAATGATTGCACAATTTAACTGTAACGAGAAGAAATACATTGGCATAGTTTGTGATGAGGATACGTGGATGAATTGGATGTGAATTCTGGCAAAGGCCAAAGCTTTAATTTAAATGTCAGCCTGAGAGGTAGAGCCTTAAAGGAAGGAAGGTTGAGATTTACATAGGATGGCCACATACACACACACACACACCACATGCACTAATGACAATAGGACATGAGCAGCAAGAACAACAACTAATGTCAACGCAGGAAAGAACAGTCATGTCGGAGCTTCACAATCTGCATTTAGTAAAGAAAAGGAGGAATTAAGTAAGAAGAACCTTTTCTGTGTAACAAATCCCCTGGGAGCTCAATGGACTTACAGATGGCTTATTGAAAATCGAATCCATGTTGTAACCCTGGGACAGAAAAAGAGGCAGCTGATTTTATCCCTACTTTGTTGGTCTAGAAATTAGCTTCTATTTATCAAAGCAAAACTAGGAAAAGGTTGCTGAGGATCTTCTTTATTCTCTTTTAAAACTATTCCAAAGAGGTGCAATTAGCTGGACTCTGTTATCACTGTAGCTGCTCAATGCAGTTGTTTCTCTCTGTGCCCAATTATTCTAACTTGCTGGAAGCACATACATTGAAAGCATCTTTGGGGGAAGAGCATGAACACCAGGGTTGTTAACTTCCGTATCAAAGTTCCTGCTTCAAAGGATATTGTTATGGTGTTTATAACAAGTCTTTTCTTATTTGTGAAGCAAACTGCTTCTGTGAGGGGAAGTGCCTTGCCTAAAGAAGCCAATCTAAGAAACAATCTTTGCACCTACACTGGCTAGGAGGGTCCAGTAGCCGAGGAAACAAGGAGTCACGGCTGGAGTGTGGGTGCCTTTACAAGTCTTAGATGAAGAAAAATCTGTAACATTGGCATGTATTTTGCAAGCCATTAAAGCTCAGAGGGCAGTAGACAGGTTAGATCAAGTCTTTCAGTTTGTTGCCAGAACACAGATAATGGAAACTAAAGCGGTCAGAATGGAGATGAATTAGAGAGAATCCCCAACAAATGAGCTCTTAGGTAGAACCACTTAGTGAATTTATTTCCCATTAAAAAAAGACAAAAACATAAACTATGTGATAAGGTAGATAAAAACACCTTGAAAATCTTCCTGAAATATTATGAATATAAGTGTGTAAAAAGCTTAGGAAACATGAAGGACTTAACGAACATTCAATTCATGCTTCCAGGAACTCCAATAAAATATTACAATTTTAGATGCTTAAATAAATGCTTACGTAAGGCGCAAGCACCACCCAGATAATATGAAAGTAATTTCCATCTTACATCCTTAATCTTTTACCTTTCTTTACCTGCTAGAATCCTGAAGAGTACAGACAGGGCTATGCAAATGGAAAATGAAAGTACAAGTATTCTGTTTTTCAAATGTTCTATGAGGATAAGAGTTTCAATGGCCCCATTAGAGAATAAATTCCATTACTTAAGTACTTAGTAAAGTTTCATCTAGTATTTTTTGAAATCCTACTTTGCAAATAAGTCAAGTCAAATTCATCGGTTTCTTAGGTTTTCATGCCAGCTTTCCCTGGTCCGTTTATCTTTAACAGCTTCGATTCCTGACTGCGCACAGAGCTCCTTGCCAGGCTAGAAAATGTTGCACTTAGAATAAATTAACTTTTAAAAATCAAATTATATGGCTGAAACATTATGACTGAATGTTTAGAAGTAGAACATTAGTTTATTTTGCCACCCAAAAAGCTCAGAAGTAATGGCATAAGGCTATCTATTGAACAACTCGAGGCCCCATACTTTAAGCTTCCGATACTTCTAATATTAGCTCAGAGAACAATACCACCCACGTTTGGGGCATGATCTGGGAGCTGGAGTGAGACACCATTCTGCACAACTCGTAACTACTACTGCCCTGGGAGTGCTCAACTCTGAAATCAACCCATATGTGGGCTATTCGGATGGGACCTGGAAAGCAGTCTATACGATTACTTATAAATGGACAAAGCCAGACAGAAAGCTGAGGCTCAGACTTCATGTAAGTGGTGATAAGTAGAGGAAGTAGCTGTTTCTAATAGAGGAGCCTTTTGGCCAGCGGCTCCTGCTTCCTCTTAGGGAAGTTCAGAGCCGATTTTTCCAAATGAGGACTAACTAGGGAGGGAGACCTTGATAGGAACCAATCGGTTGAGCCCCGAGGCACTCCCAAGAGACATGGGAGAAGAAATGGGACCAACAAGAGACAGAGAAAGAGCAATGTAGACAGAGGAGGTGGGTCCAGGGTCGTATCCTGGAGGCCGAGGAAGAAAATGCTGCTGGCCACTGGATTGTGAACTGGACTGGGGAATCCGCAACAGGAGGGCATTAGTGATGTCTGGGGTTTATCTACTGTTTCTACATATTTATACATTATTTAAATTTGTGCTGTTTGGTTAACTGTATGACACAGTTACTTTTCTAACAATCAGTTTTGGAAAATAATCCATTTCTTTGCTATCAGCTTTACTTTTTGATATGATCAAAGGTCTATATTCCTCTATCCTTGTGCATCTTGGATTCATTTTGACACATAGAAGAGTGAATGAGATTGTGGAACAAACGTGTTTTTAAAGATTACATCTAAATTGATTATGATGGCAAAGCTTTATGAGTGGCACAAATTATTATGATTAGCTTTAGTACAATTTTGTTCCCTTTATGCAAGTTTCTTCCACGGAAACTTGGAGGAAGAAATGTAAGCACAGAAATGAAGTTCTTCTGTTGCTGAGTATTTCCCTAATTTGACTTGTAGAAGGAAATGCTCAAAAACCGCTTTGAAGTGATTCAGTTCTCACCCATTCACCTAGTGTTTTCAAGACATAGCTTCGATATTGCTACAAAACGTATTTTTCAAGCACACCTTTTAAAAAGCCACATTTTATGTCATAATTCCAAATAATTATTTCATTTTGTTTTGTGTTCTGCAGGCAACCCGAACAGGAAAACCAATGCCCCCAATTCAAATGCAGCATCAAATTCGACAATTGAAACATCCTATGAAGCTGATGACATGATTCAAGAGCCAACAATGGAGACAACACAAATCAACACTGTGTATTATTAAAAAGCCTGTTCTGTAAAAGCTCACTGGAGGGATGGAGCAAATAAAAATAAAGAATGCATTTCAAATACAGTTCGTAATAACACTTCTCAAAAATTCATCATTCACAAAGCAGGACACAACTGCACTTTTGATTTTGTTAATTAATTTATTAAAAACCCACTAAGAAATTAATTTCTGATCATGTGCAGAAGTTCACTTTTATTTGCTAATTAAGATGTTCCTGCATTACATGAAATTATGCAAATACTTCAGGAAAAAAAGAGGAAATTAAAGAACTTCTTAATAACAAAGACAAGCAAACCTATGTCAGTGTGGAACAGTAAGAAATTTATGTCGCATTACCAACGTTACACAAATGTTTGGATACTTAGAGGCAGTTCGTTTCATGAGATGGTACTGGATAGGTAAATCTCAGAGGGAATGGTCTTATAGAGTTGGCAAGTTCTTAAGTCTCTTAGACATTAACCCCTTGCCTTTTTAGAGGGTTTGTGGGGCACACAATGAACGTATTGCCTTTATAAAAGCTAACATTCAATAACAGAATATGTCACAATATATGATCTTCATAATATTTTCAGCATACCACGGGATAACCTTAACAAAAATCCTTCAATGATAAAGTTCCTAAGAAGCTTCTATAATGAAAGTTATCACAAGTAAGTTCTCTGGTTCCACCGCATCTACTGTAGTAATACCACACAGACACCTAGAAATAAAACTACAGTTTCTGCAAATTATAATTGTCTTAAAAGATTTTTATTCATAAGTATGATTTTTATTTTAAGAACAAAGACCTGGGTGTCTAAATGCACTAGGAAAAAAGGACTAATTTTAAGCTGGCTCTGCTGACACATGTGCTGTGTTGTGTAAAGTTATGGAGTTGGAAGACTAGCCTTTCAAAATGTGTCAAACACAGCTTCTCTGGTCTGAGAGGGGGAAAAAAAAAGGAATGCCCTATCGCGCTTAGGCATGCAAAGCTAAGGGTTAGAAACTTTGGATGCTTAGGTTGTCAAAAGTTTTACCAAGGACTGGGGATATCTTCTGAACCAGCACTGTGCAGTAGAAGTTTCTGTAATAATGGAAATGTTCTTTCTGTCTCTGCCCTGCCCATGGTAACCACCAGTCACATGTAGCAAATGGGCACTTAAGATGTGGTAGTGCAACTGAAGGATACCTTTTTATTTGTTTAATTAATCTAAATTTAAAGAGCTACATATGGCTGTACTGAGAGCATAGTTCCAGGTCATTATTGCCACATCTGCTGCCTATGTTGATTTCACACTGGCTATCTTGATACATGTATAATAATTATAGTACTAATTAGATGTTGCCTGAGGTAAAAACCTAGGTTGAGAAATTTAGTTAAGGCACTGGTACAGTTCTAACTTTGTTGTTCAAGGGCAAGGGCAGAAGCCATGAATGAAACAAGCAGGAGACAAATTGGTCAAGGCCAGCACAATGCTCATGGTCTCCCAAACTCCTCTTAACCTGTGAGACATACTGGGGCTAGCCATGGCTCAATGTGTCATGGGTTGTGCCCCTGGAGAGGCATCCCAATTCTCTGGCATTCGGCACAGTTTCTTAAAAAGTTGGAAGGCAACAAATGAGGTCAGCAGACCCTGGGCTTCACAAGTGTGATTACCATCGTGCTGGCTTAAGAAGCATACTCTCCTTGCTTGCCGACTGCCCAGGAAGATTGAATCCCAGCACTTGTACTAGCTCTAGTCCCTGCCACACCACATTACCTGAGGGGGGCGCCACAGGGCTCAGCCAGTGGACCAACTGGTATGTGTCCCTGTTAATTTGAAGGGAGTTGGTGTTTCACAGGTTGAGACAAAATATTAAGAAATCAAGATGCCTTATCAAATTACAGCCGAGTCTATACAATGAAAAATACACTTTAGATGATTTATTGGGGTATAATAAATACTAACTTAGTGACAGAATTTAAGTCAGTCAAAAATAATCTAAAAATGTAAACCACATTTCCGAATATGTACACATATATTTAATTCTGAGGATGGGTCTGATAAAGAACACAGTAGCTTTAGGTGTTTTTAGAAGACTTAAGTCACTGGAAGCTTTGATAGTGGGTCTAGAATAAGAGTATGAATAATATGACATAAAAGACTCAAATTCTTTTCTATGTGGTCTTCTCATGAGAGGAATTTCACCTTCTAAAAAACTGTTTAATTAGATTTTGATATGGATGAAGCCAAATCTCAATAAAGGTCATTTCTTTCCTTAAAACTCTCTCATGGTATCTCACTGCTTACAGATTACAGCTCAAGCTTTCAAATACAGAACATAAGACTTCTTTCTCTTGTTCCCAAGAACCAAGAATGGCAGTCTCAATTCTTACCACTTAGCTGCCTCACATATTGCTTGTAAATCTTGACACACACACACACACAACTCATTTTTTTCTACTGTGATTCTTGTTCACAGTACCCACTCGTCAGTAACTGCCATGACTTCTACCGTCAGCCTCCATCAAAATCCAAGTCAGGCGTTACTTTCTTTAGGTAGCCTTTTCCTCACTTCTCTAGACTAGGTTAACAATCCTTCTGTGTTTCTATGAATGCCATGTTCAGCTCAATTACCGTATTGATTATACACTGATGTGTTCTGCTGTTTCTCCCACCAACTAAACTATGAACTCCTTCAGGGAAGCAAGTGAGTCTTATTAATCTCTGTATCCCCAGTACTTAGCAGAATGTTTACTATGCCAGGCACTCAGTCAATGTTTGCTGAAGAAAGGAATCAATGACATTTTTATCAACATTATTAATAACTCTTCAATCTAGTTTAAATGAAGGTGACCTAGGGTTATATAATTTTAGATGGAGTGAACTGTAAATATAGACACATAAAATTGTTTTACTCCTTATTTATTGATGCTTTGGCCTCAGAATCAAATGTAAACAGATATACATTAGGGGTGAAGAACTAGAGATACCTCTAAGAGATTTTAGCCAAAAGAGGATATGGGGGAAATAAACAGGGAATTGTGTGAAGAGTAGATCCATCAGCCCAAAAACAATAGCTTGAGCATTCAGATAATCAGTTTACAGATACAAATCTAAACATAAATTCTATACGCATCTAGTGAAAAAGACATACACTGGTAAGAATGTAAGATAAATATCAATTACCTGCTTAAAGATGTTGAATGTGTTTAACAGGTACATTAATAAATTCAACCTTTCCCATTATAGAATGCTACCTGCATTAATAATGTTACTTGAATTATACTAACATATTGATAATCATATACATTAAGGGCTGGAAGGGTTCTCAGAGATAATTGGGTACAGTATGTTACAGATCAAAGACACCAAGGCCCAGAGAAGCTAAATGATTTAGTTGAAAGTCACACAGGTAGTTAGAAAGGCCAGGGCTTTTTGGATTTTTACTGTTAAATTCAGTTTGCCTTCTGCTACGTACATACTGCTTCAGAGAAATTTGAGATTTGTATCCAATCTCAACAAGATCACTTTAGAAGAAAACCAGTAAAAAGAAATAAATTTTATTCAGATGACAGATTTTATAAACTATTCTCATACTGTGGGGAATTTACTTAAGAATAATTCCAAGAATGTATCTGGGGGACAAAATTGCTGAGCAATAAATTTTTTAAAATTTGCACACTGTATTAGTTAATGAGGCTGAATTTTATATAAGTCTTTTGGACCATTATTAATTGGGTTCCCAATCAGAAAACAAATTGAATGAGCCAATTTATAATCTCTACCATTAACAGAAATAAAACTCACAAATAACTTTAGATTAACTTTGTTTCACTATAATTATTAGCATTTTTAACCATATCAACTACTTGATGGGATGAGGCCATTCTTGTGCATGCAGCATTTTCCTATCATTTTTAAGTTTTTTATTTTTTTCATCATGGTAACGAAAGAACTGTATTTTCAGAAAATACAGTTAAAAAATACAAAAAATGCAGCAAAGGCCAAACAAACCCTTAAAAACCTAAAAACTCTGTGTTTCTCTTCCAACATTTGATTAAACTATTTAAACAAAAGAGTTTTCTTTCTGAAGAGGCCACGTGATGAAATTATGTGATGGAAAAGCTACAAGTGTGAAAGCTTCCTCAGCTATAAAGCTAGAAGAGGGATGTGGGTGTAGCTTCCCTAGATCTGAACATGGGAAGCAGATATTAAGAGAAGCTATGAGCTCCCCCCGTGTGAGTGAGGTCATGCTAGCAAGGGGAGCTGAATGAAGAATCAGTATATGTTTCCAGTTTGTGAGGTTACATGTACTTACCTGATTTCACATGAATTCGCTTGAAGCCATGTCTGTAGAATAGGAATTTGAAAATTTATAACCACACCACAGTGAGGTACACGCAATCTTTGGTGCTGTGCCATGGTAAGTGACTGATGTTTGATGCTGCTGAGTGCTTAACTCATTGGGCATAAAGGATATTCAAATGCCAAGCACAGTAAGTAATACCGATCATTGTGAAATTAAAAATGTAAGAAACATTTACAGTTACTGATATATGTTTGAAAATGCTTACCCATATAAAATTTCCATTGTTATATAAAGGCTTTCATGATGCAACTCCCTGGCTCTTATATTTTAAAAAGTACAGAATAAAATTCCTAATCCTAAATTTTTGTCACTGCTCTTTAGGTCTAAGACTGAAGTAAAAGAAAGAAACACCCCAAACTGGTCATTTTTGAAACCATAAATTCAGTGTGAAACCTGCTTCAAAACTACAAATTATTTTAGACAAATAAATATATATGTTCACATTTATAAAAAATTTCCACATTACTCATAGAAACAAGCTTCATAAAATTTACATACAGAATACAATAAAAATCAGTTCTATTAATGATTTAGCTGTCATTCTCCTAAGTAAAAAGTTCTGTGTTTGAGGTATCACTTTAAGAGATGCCAATATGGCACATTTGAAAAACCACCCAGGCGTCTGTCCTAAATATTCTACCCAACACGGGATCATCTCTGCAAGATTCTGAGAGGCTGAACTATGCTTGTCTTTGTAAAAGAGGAAGAGGATTTTAATTGTTACAATAAGAGAGGAGGCAGGTACTAGACACTCTGCATTTCGTGTTAATAGTAAAACTTCCTTATAAGTATTTTCATTATCTTCCTGCCAACACCATTCGCTTGACATGTCCTAGTTAAGACCAATGAAGCAGCTTCATTTCCTATGACATCCAAAAAAGTTTTGAGATTTAAAAATGACAGTGAAAAATTTCACTATCTTTATACATTACCATAGGAAATAAACCTATTAAATTTTTCAGTCAAGAGCAAAGCATTATCCCCTACCTCATTTTATCACTGGAAGGTGGACACCTGATTCAGCAATACTCATTAACTACTATGTAGATTACCTATGTTGACTGTAGTAAAGCCATTTACAATCAGCTTATAAAATAATAACACTAGTCAGACACAGTCATGAATACCAAAAATGAAGTGTTTTGTATGTATAAATATCCATACTTGGGGCATGGCTATCAAGTAATAAGACTGATTCAATACTTTACAGTAAGCACATTAAAAATGTATTGCCAGAAGACAAAGGTCCCATATATGAAAAAAATGTCCAAATGGAAAAGGCTGTGATTTATTGCAAAGCATGATTATATAGCAAATTCCAAGGAAGATGAAATAATTTCCAAAACCAAATTTTAAAATTTAATGGCTTAGGCCGAAGATTCAGTTACTTTTTGGAGATCTCAGAATGATTAGGGGTGGAAGAATGCTTTTCCTTTTTTCTCTTCTTTTTTTCCTTTTTGTGGTGTTTCCCCCTTTTTGACTTATTCTTTTTTTCTTTTTTCTTTTCTTTCTTCTGGTATTTTTGTTTCTTTTGTTTAGAAGTGTCCTCTTCAGTGGAACTGGATGAATAAGACCTATGGGCAATAATATAGACTGACTGATAACTGCATTTATGGCTAATAGCTAAATTTAAGTGGGGTTTAACTGCCTTAAATCATTCTTGGAGCAAAGTGGGGTATAAATGAAGAAGCTCAAAATGTGCTTTATATATTTGTATTCTCTTAAAATATAGACTTTGGAATTTTTGCTCCCTGGTCATAGAAGATGACAAAACAAATAACTCTATTTTGCTCAACTCTAGTAATATGTTTTAAACTGAGTAAGGATGCAATAGTTTTTCTAATTTTCAGCTTTTCGTCTTGTTGTACCCTTCAAAATCTTATAAGGTAAACAAAGTGGCATTTACCAAGCCTTTATTATACATACAATTCATTTACATATGCAATAACTCGTTAGCATATTCTCTTCAAAGAGCTACAAAACGATGCAATTATGTAAAAAGGGCTGTATTTGTACCTCAGTAATAATGGGTAAAAGCTGAAAATTAGACAAATAAAAGCACTTCTGTTAAATTCCTGTTAAAGTGATACAGATGAGCACGTGCACTCCAAAGTAACTTTCACTAGTTACAAAACAAGATTTTTTTTTAATGTTTTTATTTATTTCTGACAGAGACAGAGACACACACACACACACACACACACACACACACACACACGGCATGAGCAGGGGAGGGTCAGAGAGAGAGAGAGGGAGACACAGAATCTGAAGCAGGCTCCAGGTTCTGAGTGGTCAGCAAAGAGCCCGACGAGGGGCTTGAACCCATGAATTGTGAGATAATGACCTGAGCCAAAGTCGGATGCTTAACGGACTGAGCCACCTAAGCACCCCGAAACAAGATGTTTTAAATGCATATAAGTAAATGAGGATGATTTATCATTATTCTTTATTTTGCTAATATCACCCTAATACTAGATTGGGGAAAAAAAATCGTATGAAATTCCTTCCTCTAACATTAAAAAAAAGAAAAGTAACAAAAAACAGAAAAGCCATCTCTTAAGATCCTACATAAGTAGGTATACAACAATCTCCCCACACCCAAACTCTAAGTAGGTGAGAAGACAGAAACTGAGTCAATTTAAAATAAAAAAAGACACTTTTCTTTAAAAAATTTTTTTAAAATTGTTTATTCAGTTTTGAAAGACAGAGCGTGAGCAGGGGAGGGGCAGAGAGAAGGGGAGACACAGAATCTGAAGCTGGCTCTAGGCTCCAAGCTGTTGGCACAGAGCCCTGTGCCCAATGCAGGGGCTCACACTCACAAATCACGAGGTCATGACCTGAGCTGAAGTTGGACGCTTAACCGACCGAGCCACCCAGGTGTCCCAAAAAAGACGGCTCTCCAAAGAGACAGTTGAGTGATCTAACCGTTAGAAGTTAAAGACTAAACTAATAAAACCCGACAGAGACCTACAGTAAGTAAAAAATAAATGGATGGGACTCCAAGGCTGTGTCTGTAAAGTGATTCCTATGAATTTCTTGTTTAGAAACTCCAAGTTTCCCCTCGTTTCTGTAATGCTGTATTCCTTTCTCCATCTTGTCTTACTGAGGCTTCTGGCTGTTTCTGAGGCTTATTTTCTCATGTATTCTCTTGTTCCCTCTTCATCTCTGTTATTGTCAACTCTGTTTTCCTGTTTTAAAGACCCTGCTTGACCTCTGGATTCTGAGTAGAGCTTCTTTGTACATTTTTCTTTGGCTTTTTGGTCCTGGATTCTCATTTTTAAGGCACAGTGTGAGACTTGCACAGAGCAATTCCATTAGGTGGCAAGATCTCTGATGAATATGCCTAGAAAACTTCATTTAATTTCAGGCCCTGTCTGAGATCTGTGAGACCCAAAGTAGAGAGGCTCAAATAAATAATCTGCTACAATACAACAAGTATATTAGAATTTGAAAGAAAAGAGATGATTTCATTTTTCCTATATGCAATCCATCTTGCTGTACTAATGCAAGTGATTCAATAGTATATTAGTCCTACTACAAAATACACTGAGCTCTATCTTCTTACTTTTTCTGTTAAATGTTATTTGACTCCTAACACTTAAGAGAAAATGAACTTTTCCAAATTATAAAGTAGCTGTGATGCTGAATTGGATATATTAAATGCTCTATGAAGTAACACCTGATTTGCAGAACCTACTCTACTAGAGAACTAGGGTCCAACACAGACATTATTATTGTCATATGCCTTACAAAATATCTGTATGTATATGTTTATTCTAGTATATATAAAACTGCACTCATTAACCATAAAAGAAGCTGCTTCTTAATTCTTGTGATCAATTTCTTTAACCACCTGGTTGTTAAAAGAGTTGATACTAAAAATTCACTGGTGGCTGATGCAGATTCTGAAACACCTGAATGAACTTTTAGAAGAAGTGAGTATGTAAATCCTATTAATAATTTAACTTTGTAGCCATGGAAAAGATATTTTGAGAATACAAATATTTAAGCTCCAACTTTATACATATGAGGGCAAAATATCCACGTAAAGAATTTATACATTATCCAGTTAAAAGCATGGCTGATGTTTTAAACTCTAAATTCTAGAACACAAATAGAATACATAAAAGAAGGGGGGGGCAGTATTATTTATTTATACCTTAATTTGCTCCAAAAAAAAATTTAAGGTGACTGAGTACTGACTTTAGTTTTGATTCCTCACAGACTGTTATTTTACTGTAACAAGCAAATATCTAATTTCCATTAAGAAAAGAATTAGTGTTAAATTTAACTGGACTACACACAAAATATAAAATTTTATAATCCATCCCAGATTCACAGTCCTGCTTTTAAAAAACAATGATGTTAAAAAAATACCTTTTTCTTTTTTTTTTCAACTTGATTTTCTCTTTGCTTTTTGCTTTTTTCTTCTCCTCTTCTTCATTTACTCCTGTGTGTTGAGAGGAAAGAATCAGGACACCATGAATTTTCACACTAATATGGTATGTATACATTTATTAAATTTTTGTTGTTGCTTGATGACTTTTATTAGTTAGGATATTGCATGTTTCTTGTAACAATTTCTCCTTTCTTGTTTTTTAAGTTGAAGTATAAATTGACATATAACATTATTTACTTTCAGGCATACAACATAATGGTTTGATATTTACACATTCCGCAATAATTACGTTAAGTCTAGTTAACATCTGTCACCATGTTACATGGATACCAAAACATTTTTTTTCTTATGATGAGACTTTTAAGATCTACCCTCTTAGCAACTTTCAAACATACAATACAGTACTGTTATCTACAGTCACCATGCTACACATTACAACCCCATGACTTATTTATAACTGGAAGTTTGTGCCTCTTTTGTTATTATTATTTAAAGATTGTGTTTTTGAATAATCTCCACCCAACATGAGACTCAAACCTACAACCACGAGATCACGTGTCCCGGCCTTATCCAATGAGCCAGCCTGGCACCCTGGTACCTCTTGACCACCCTTATCACCTGCCTCTAACAACCACGAATCTTTTTCCTTTATGTCTGAGGTTTGCTTTTTTGCATGTCTGTTTTTGTTTGTTTTTTAGATTTCACATATAAGTGAAATCATACAGAATTTGTCTCTCTCTGACTTATTTCACTTAGCTTAATACCCTCAAGGTCCAGTAATTATTTTTATTTATTGAGAAGCTTATACAAATATTATATGCTTTTTATAAAAATTTCAAATACTACTAGGTATATTAAGTAAAAAATTCAAGTGCTCCACTGATAATTCCTACAGCAAATCAGTGTCAACAGTTTGGTGGGTACCATTTCAGATCTTAAAAACAAAACAAAACAATACAATACAATCAAATACGGATTTTTTTTTTTAAGTTGGCTCCATGCCCAGCCTGATGGGGCGTGAACTCACAACCCTGAGATCAAGAGTTGCATGATGTTATGACTGAGCTAGCCTGATACCCCTCAAATATAGCTGTTTAAATTTTTCTTTTTCAAGCAAAATTAGGATCATGGCATTCTAGAATGTTAGGATCACAGGACTGTAAAGAGACCTAATATTTATGCCACTGGTGTCCTAGGAGGAAAGGATATATACTATTCTCTAACTCATCTCTGAAATACACAATTTGATGTGTTTTCTGTTAAATGTGCTCTCTATACACACAAATATGCACATATAATCACTTATACAAAATAGTTTCAAATAAGTCCCAAGTTTTTCTTTCTTTCGAAAGATGGATAAGTGATATTTTATATGGCATATAAATACAGTGGCATGTATATTTTGCAACTTATTTCACCTTTGTAAAAAATCAGTTGGACAGAAAAAAAATCAGTTGGACTTCTGCTTCTGGGAAGAGGAGTAAGTGTACTTTTCCTATCTTCCCCAGTAAGTTCAACTAAAAGTAGCAGATGTTATAGAAACAAACATAAAAACTGAAAAGTATTTGAGTTTTCAGTTGGTTGAGTGCCCAACTCCTGAATTCGGCTCAGGACATGATTTCACAGTTCGTGGGTTCAAGTCACATGTCAGGTGCATATGCATTAGCAGTGCGAAGCCTGCCTGGGATTTTTTTTTTCTCTCTCTGCTCCTCCCCTACTTGTGCTCTCTCATTCAAATAAATAAGCAAACTTAAAAAAAACCCCACCAACTTTAAAGTAGAAATAAGACAGACTAGCTAGGGAGCTTGAAACCGAGAGAAAAACATAGGAGTGAGTTCTGTGGAATTCTTGCTTCCTTTAGCCCAGACTTGGAACTGAAGAAGCTGGCAACTTTGGTAATGTCAACAGGTGCAGATAAAAAGATTTCTTTAGCCAAAGGACCAAAACAGAGACAGCCTAGTGACAGGTAGCTTGTGGATAATAACTGCCCTTATTCAGGCTGAACACCACAGAAAAATGCTGGCACAACTTGCCCCACCCATGTCAGCAGACTCTGAGAGGGAAACCTAGACATTCCCCCTTATAAACCTATGAAAAGACTCCACAATTCCCCAACCTGAGAAGTCTAAATAGGTGACCAGGACCTTCATCTCTACTTATGAAACAGATCTCCACTAATGGTGTCAGTAGAGATCACTTGGGAAGCCTTGACTTCTGTTGCCAGCCAGTAGTAATGAAGTACCCCTCTCATCTACACTGAAATGGTATCAGAGGAGATCTAAGGAAGTCAGGGCATTCATCATCACCCAGCAGTAACAAGACCACTCCCACCATGGGATACCAATAGGGAGCTGAAACTCATACCCTTACCCAGCAGTAACAAGAAGCTATGACCACTTTGGATGTTGGTGGAACATAAGTGGGGAAACAGAACTGCTGTCTCCACTTGGCAGTAACAAGCCACTTTCTCTTCTGGGGTGATAGCAAAGAAAATCAGATAAAAGAGAAGGTTTCAGAAAAGCCAGAGTTTCATAATACAATATAAACATGCCCAAATTTCAGTTGAAAAGAACTCATCAAAGTCAAGAATCAGGAAGATCTTAAATTGAAAAAAAAAAGAAACAATATGACACCACCACAATGAGAGAGATATTAAAATAATCTAAAAAAGATTTTAAAGTAGCCATCACAAAAATGTTTCTATGAAATAAAATGCTTGAAACAAGTGAAAAACTATGAAAGCTCAAAGAAATGGGACAAAGTCCAAAGAACAAAATAGATATTTTAGAACTAAAACTACAATAAATGGAATTATAACACTCTGTGGATGAGTTCAATAGAAGAATGCAAAGCAATGAATAGAAATACTACTGAATGGGAAAACAGAACAATAGAAATCACCCAATCTGAGTAATGGAAAGGAAATAGATATAAAGAAAAGGAAAGAGACTTGGAGATCTGTGGGATAGTAACAAAATATACAATATTTATGTCACTGGAAACATAAAGAGTATAAAAAGGAGGGGCTTAAAAAGTATTTGAAATCCACATCAAGATATGATAATTAAGCTTTTGAAAACTAATGAAAACAATCTTGAAAATAGCCCAATAGAAATGATACATTACTTATGTGAATGTAACAATTAGCATGCAAGCGGATTTCTTATTATAAAGCATGGAAGCCAGAAAGAAGTGGCACATCATTATTTTAAGTGCTAAAAGAAATGGCAACATGGAATCCTCTACCCAGTAAAAATATTATTCAAGAACAAAGGAGACATTCTCAGATAAGGAAAAAGTAAAAGGATATGTCACCAGTAGACAGACTCTATAAGAATGGCTAAAGGAAGTTCCTTAAATGGAAAGGAAATGATAAAAGAAGGAACACTGGAACATCAGGAAGAAAGGACATAGTAAGCAAAAAGATGAGTACAATATGCTTTCCTTCTCTTGAGTTCCTAATTATGTTTGATGGTGGAAGCAAAAACTACACCACTGTCTCATGTGGTTCTAAATGTATGTAGAGAATATATTTATGACAAGTGTATTGTAAAGAAGAGAAGGTAAAGGGACATAAAGGGTGGCATGGTTTCTACTCTTCACTTGTACTGATAAAAAAGGACAGTATCATTAGATTGTGATAAATTATGTATATATAATGTAATACCTAGAGCAACCACTAAAAATGCCATATAAAATACCATAGAAAAATTTAAAAAAAAACCCACTATGGACATAGTCAAAGACACTACAGATAAATTATATGCAATTTTACAGGTGTTTAAGTGACACTACAGATAAATCGAAAAAATGTTCAAGTAACCCACAGGAAGGCAGAGGAGAAAAAAAAAAACAAGAGTGAAAAAACAATGAAAAACAAAGTCAACAGAAAACAAATAATAAAGTGGTAGGATTAGCTCTAACATATAAAAATTACATTAATGTAAAAAAATACCAATTAAAAGAAATTGGTTGGTAAAGTGAATTGAAAAATATGATTCACCTATACACTATCTACAAGATTCCCACTTCAAATAAAAAGATATAGACCCACTGAAAATAAAAGGATAGAACTAGGTAGGCCAAAAAAGCATTATCATCAAAAAGCGGGATAAAATAGACTTCAGAACAAAGAAAATTACCAGTGAAAGGGTGAATGTAATGATAAAAGTTTCAACTCATCAACAAGACATATCCTAAATGTGTATGCACCAAATAGTAGAGCTAAAAATACATGAAGCAAAACTGAGAGACCTGAAAGGAGAAAAGAAGTAGACAAATCTATAATGATAGAGACTTCAACATCTTTCTCTTAAAGATTAAAAGATACTGTACATAAAGTCATCAAGAATGCAGAAGAACTCACAACCATCAATCAATAGAATCTAAACAAGATTTAAAACCACTCAACCCAACAGATTTTTTTCAAGTACCTACAGAATGTAGACCAAGACAGGATATATCTGGTGTCATAAAGCAAAGCTCAACAAACTTAAAAGAACTGAATTCATACAGAGTTATGTCTCTGTCCTTAATGGAATCAAATGAGAAATCAGTAATAGATAACAGGACAATGTCTGAACACTTGGAAGAAAACCAACACTTTTAAATAATCCATTGGGCCAAGAGGAAGTCTCCAAAAAAACAAAACATACTCAACTGAATGAAAGTGAAATATATTAAAATTTGTGTAACACAGCTAAAGCAGTGCTGAGAGGGAAATTTATAGCATTAAATGCTTAGGATAGAAATACAGAAAAGTTTCAAACTGATAATATCTAAGTTTTGATCTCAAGAGCCTAGGGGGAAAAAGCCAAATAAGCACAAAGCAAGTAGAAGGAAGAAAATAATAAAGCACAAGAATTAATAAAATTGAAAATAGAAAAAAAATCAGAGAAGAAGAATGAAACAATGAGCTGGTTCAATAAAATCAACAAATCTCTAGAAAAAAATGTGAAAGAAAAACACAAATCATCAATATCAGAAATGAAAAAAAGGTTATCTCTACAGACCTCTTATACACCAAAAAAATAAATGAATGCTATGAACAC